AGTTCATCCCTTGCCCAAGCAGCAGGGGCTCAGCGGCTGCTCAGCGTGGCTCTGGCCAGCCTATGAAATCTCAGTATTGGAACCTTTAGCCTTGGCCATGAATTAGTCATCATGTCCTTGGGGATTGAGTAACCTTTTATCAAGAAATTCAGGAATGAAAGAGAAATCTAGGTCAAGCACAGAAGAAACAATAAAGAAATAAGAAGTTAACTGAGTAAGGACCTGTTTTATTTGGGATTAAGAAACAGTAACTCGCGAGTCATTTGCAGCCTGTGTCCTGTGCCCCAGCATGTCAGGCTGTGAGACGGCAGCCGCTTCCTGAGGTCTCTGCATTTGCGTTGATTGTATTGATCTGCTCAAGGCAGTGATGATTGTCGGTTCCCAATATGTCACCTGGAGGGTCCTGTACTCGGACTGTCAGGCTGGCTGCCCTGGAAGTCCACACCGTCCTCACCTCCAATGAGTGACCACAGCTTCCACAGTAGAAACCTTGCATGAGTTCAGATGGAGGCTTAGCTGGTGTAAAGGACCCCACATAATGGTAGCTCAGCTAAGAGCGTATTTCTCTCTCGTGTCAAAGATGGGTTAGCGGGACAGATCTGGTCTGTGGCGCCATTAGATATCAGGGTTTTTCTATCTCCTTTGAGGAGTTCAAGATGGCTCAGCGCCCCATGCTCACTTCAGCCATGGGAAGCGGGGAGGGGCAAGGGAGGACACACGGTTTCCATTTAAGGACCAAAAGTAGCACACATTCCCTCTGCTGGCTTCTCACTGGCCAAAATCTAGTTTCATAGTAATATCCACGCTGCAGCCCTCACCAGAAGCATTGACAAGGATTAGATTTCATAGCCAGTCACCTCCCCAACTGACCTAACACAGTTAGAACCAAGACAACCTTCTTTCCTTCCTTCTTTCCTCTCTCCCTCCATACCTCCCTCCATTCCTTCCTTCCACTCATTCATTTATTCATTATATCATTCAACAAGTATTTGACTGTGATATACTGAAAAAAGAAAGGGAAAGATGCAGTCGCTATCTTAAAAAAGCTATAACCTCATTTGGTACTGGATAAGAACCCTGGTCTGGATGCAGTGGAAAGGACATACAGACGGGTGGAGGTGGCAGTGATCCAGATGAGAGGGGGAGGGAGAGGGAGAGAGGGGAGAATGGGGTTGGACCGTGATCCTAGCTCTAATGCATTTTGGAGAGACAACAGACAATAAAATTCAAGTATAGGAACTGGCTGAACTCATGAAATAGGATCCAAACCATGGCTTTGTGAGGGCACAAATGTAATTGTTTTATTTTTTTAAAAGTAACACATTAATACAAATTCTACCGCATGCCTTGTGCAAACCCTTCTGTTCCTTTTATTAGAGATAGTGCCGCGACTTATTTCACTGCTCATTTGGGAGCTAAGTATTTCAATTATTCAAAACCAATTGCTGAAGGTTGGCTACAGGGTAGGCATGAGGTAGAAGCAAGCTATCTGTGATCTCTGCCTGTATGAAGTATGCCAAAACTAGTGAAAAAATTGGAGAAGAGTAAAAGTTTGCTTTATCTTAGCTCTTCTCTAGCTGAAGAACAAAACGGAGTTTATCACAAGTTGACACCTTTACTATCTTGTAAGCTTTTAATTACTGGCACAATTGTAACACATTTTTAAAAAATTAAAAAGTAAAAAATACAGACCCCTTAATAGAGTTTGACCTGTGCAATTTAGATTTGAGTCACTTCTGAGTTAAACAAAAAAGGCTGGTGTAGATTATTTATGGAATTTGGCTCCAAGAAAACAACTCAATTTCCTGAATGGCATTTGTCTGTGACTTCAAAGGGAAACATCTGTATTTCCTTCCCCCAAAATACTCTACTTGCCTCAAGTCCTGTGACATTCAGAGGCCTCCATAAAATGGTGATATAATTTTTTTGCATGACAGTCAATCTGGTTTTAATATATATATATACCTAGAAATATGTGTATAGACACTGTAAAAACAGCATTTTTTCTAAACGAAGAAAAAACCATCCTACCGTTCCAGAACTACCATGGTCAATTGGGTCTATTTGCTCCTAGCTTTTGTCAATTTGCATAATTACAGAGGTGCATTCATCATGTGCATGGCATTTTAGTTTACTTTTTAAAAATTCAACTCAGCACAACCGATACATTTTACATATTTCTACATGACCTTCATAATCATTTCAGTGGTTACATAATATTCTACTATCTAAACTACTTATTGTTACACACTGTGTAGTATGCACGTCTTCACAATTACAGGTAACGCTGGGGTTAATATCTATGGCACATAAACTTTGGGGTATTGAGAAGAATTTGGGGGATGAGATTACTGGGCTTAGATATGGATGTCCTTTCTCTTTAACTTTCTAAAGGGCTGTGTATACTTCCTTCAGCAGCGGTTCTGGCTTCTAACCAGTTGCACTAGCCTTATGTTATTATTTTTTTATATCTGAAGTTATCTACCATAACATATTCATTCCACTCAATACATATTTATTCATCCTACTATTCCAGGCTTAACACTGAGCACTGGGACTACAAGAATGAGGAAAATACAGTCAGGTGGGAGCCAGGTTGTTCGTTATACAATTACCTAAACAAATGTAGCCCCTCTATCCTGGTGCCATAAAAGAGAGGGACAGGGAACTCTGTGCCCCTTCTAGGGGAGATTGACCTGGTCAGGTGGGCCCTATGCATCCCAAGGGTTCACACTGCTGGGGGCTTGCCAGTGTTGTTCTCTTTGTCTAGAACATTCCTTCAAATCTCAGCCCCTGCCTCACCAACCAGCACTGTCGTAGCTTCTGGTAAGGTTGGAAAGCAAATCAATAGCTTAGAGGGGTGATTTGAAAGTGTACTTCTCACACTGTGTGCCCTCGTGTGTGTGAGCATGCACCCCCGTTAAAACCAAACCTTGACTCAAAGGAGACATCTAATTGTAGTAGGGCCACTTAGAACACTTCAATATTTTTAAATTAAATTTTTGTTGTGTAAAATACACATAAAACCATTTTAATCTCTTTTAAGAGTTCGGTTCATGGTGTTAGAGACACTGACATTGTTGTGCAGCAGCATAATGCTTCCGGGTTTCTCCATGTGCAGCAGGGTCAGAGTTTCCTTCCTCTTTAAGGCTGAGTCACATTCCACAGCGTGGATAGGCCAGATTTCGTCCATACGTTTATTGGGTTGCTTCCACCTTTTGACTACCGTGAGTGATGCAACTGTGAACATGGGCGGAGAACCAGCCGCTGGAGACCCCGCTTTCAGTGCTTGTGCATATATACCCAGAAGGGGGATTGCCGAGTCAAATGCTACCTCTGGTTGGCTGTACTGTTTATAATGTGCTTTCATGTGCATGGTGACCAAATCTGGTTTTTGCAGCAGCTCTCTGAGGTACGTAGGCATTAACATCTTCTGCGGCTCTGAAAAGTGGTTTCCCAAAGTGATGTGGTAAAGGGAAGTGCCCTGACTTGGGACCTGGCTTTCTCCTGAATTGCTCACCATTAAAAGTGGTGCCAATCACATGTGTCCCTTCCAAGGACAATGTCTTTCTGGTTGTAAGCAGCTTGGTCTGCTACCAGCTTCTACCCTGACCCACCCTGACCATCTGTGCGGGCCTCACCAGGGGTGAGGAGCAGAGGCTGTGCCATGGTCCCCGGGACAATGGTTCCCCCTTTTGATCTGTGCTTCCCTCTTTCAGTTCAGCTCTGTCACCTGGACCATGAGGATCTGGTGGCTCCTGCTTGCCACTGGAGTCTGCACAGGGAACGTGAACTCACAGAACACGTGCAGGCAAGGGCACCCTGGTGTCCCTGGGAATCCTGGTCACAATGGTTTGCCTGGAAGAGATGGACGAGATGGAGCAAAGGGTGACAAAGGGGATGCAGGTACTTACCACCTGGTGGCTGTTAGCTGCTGTTCCATTTATCCCTTCATTTCTTTTCCCTCATTCATTCGTTCATCACCTTGCGGTCATCACCTGCTCCTCACTCACCCATCGCTCAGCACACACTCACCGAAAGCGGCTCCACACCAGATTCTGGGCCAAATGCCTGGGTGTTTGGACAACAGTGACAGGAACTCCTTCCTCATGGACTTTCTCATCCAGTGGGGAAACCGGTTGTTAACCATCATCTCTGCTATTACAGACCATCTTCAGGAGAATATAATGTCATAGATCTTCCTGCCTCAGGCGACAGGACAGGTATGAGAGATCTTGGGCACATGGGGCTATAGAGAGACCCAATTGCTAAGTTTGTTTTTTTTCTTTATTGATTAGGTATACATATGTGCCCTTATCCCCCCTTTGCACCCCTCCCCAACCCCTCGCTCATGCCCTCACTCCCCTAGTGTCTGTGTCCATTGGTTAGGCTTATATGCATGCATACAACTTCTTTGGTTGATCTCTCCCCCTTACCCCCACCCTCCCCTACCTTCCCTCTGAGGTTTGATGGTCTGATCGATGCTTCTCTGTCTCTGAATCTGTTTTTGTTCATCAGTTTATGTTGTTCATTATATTCCACAAATGAGTGAGATCATGTGATATTTATCTTTCTCTGACTGGCTTATTTCACTTAGCATAATGCTCTCCAGGTCCATCCATGCTGTTGCAAATAGTAGGAGTTCCTTCCTTTTCACAGTAGTATAGTATTCCATTGTGTACAGGTACCATAGGTTTTTAATCCACTCATCTGCTATGGGCACTTAGGCTGTTTCCAAATCTTAGCTATTGTAAATTGTGCTGCTATGAACATAGGGGTGCATATATCCTTTCTGATTGGTGTTTCTAGTTTGTTGGGATATATTCCTAGAAGTGGGATCACTGGGTCAAATGGGAGTTCCATTTTTAACTTTTTGAGGAAACACCATACTGTTCTCCATAGTGGCTGCATTCCCACCAGCAGTGCACGAGGGTTCCCTTTTCTCTGCATCCTTGCCAGCACTTGTCATTTGTTGATTTGTTGATGATAGCCGCTCTGACAGGTGTGAGATGGTACCTCATTGTCATTTTGATTTGCATCTCTCAGATGACTAGTGAGTTTGAGCATGTTAAAGTTTTTGCCAGAGAGCATCCAGCTGCAATGCAGGTGGGAGTTAAGGCCTCCTAGCCATGCTGCAAGGCAGAGAACTGTAGAGAATACAAAAGTGGACACTAACCTGAAGCCATACAGCCGCTACTCGCTACTCGGGGATTTCTGCTTATGCTGGGACCTGCCCTAGGGCTTGTACACTTGGGGACAGGATCCAGCCCCAGGAAAGGAGATTTGCAAAAGCCAGGATGTGTGAGTGGTTATCATAGTGCCAACAGATAGGCTCGGTTTTGAATGGGGTTCTTGAGCCCTGGTTTGACCATTACCAGAATGATCCACCTGGGTCCAGGAAGAAAACATCAAAAATTCTATTGACATTTTAAAAGATGAATATAGGTGAAGAAAAACATGAGTTTTTAAAATATTTGATACTGGCACACCTCATTGTATTGTGCTTCCCAGATGTTTTTAACAAATTGAAAGCAATACCTTTCCCCAGCAAAATTGCACCTCGCTTTATTTTGATCCCAGCTTTATTGCAGTGGCTGGAACTGAACGCAAGATCTCTGAGGGATGTCTGCATATGCATTGGCATGGGTGGCCGCACTTGGTCCATTTGCAGATGGACATGTGTCACTTGAGAACTGAAGTTGTCCTGTGGGAAGAGTGGGAGTCCCACAGTGCAAACAGGTTGGCGGGGGCCTCAGGCAGCCATCAGCGGCTCGCGGTGCGCCCTGGGCAGGGATTTTCCAATTATACTATGGGCCTAAATCACTCCTGCCAAGAAGCTGAAGGTGGATGGTGGGCTTGATGATACAGGCTTTACAGACTCTCCTGCAAATAGCAGAGCTGCCACTTCTGTTCTGCGTGTGAGCTCGGCAACAATGAACTGGTTAGAGGTCAGGTCTGACAAGAAGTCTGTAAAAACCTAGACATTATTAAGACTTAGGGCACATGAATTTACGTTTACATACATTAAGGCGAACCTCATCCTAACTGTAAATTGTACCATGAGATACCCATGAGTTATTAACAGCAAGAACCCCAGTTAATAGGATAGGACTCTGTGTGGAATGTAAGCACAAACCCTTCTCATTTTTCTCAGCAATACATTTTGTATTAGAAAAACTTCTCCAAACTTAATGATAAACATTTAGAAGCCTCTTCTGATACTCATTAATCATATCAGAGGATTATGTTTTCCTCTGTCCATTTTAAAAATGATTGAAATAATACTTAGCAGGTAATTTCAGGATGAAGTAAAAGTAATTCTTCGCCAACAAAGGCTGTTTTGGAATATATTTTAAAAACCTTTGTTAAAGTTTGGTAAAACAAGGAGAACAGTTGCTTAGTACAGGAAGTCTGTGGGATACTCATTAATCATATCAGAGGATTATGTTTTCCTCTGTCCATTTTAAAAATGATTGAAATAATACTTAGCAGGTAATTTCAGGATGAAGTAAAAGTAATTCTTCGCCAACAAAGGCTGTTTTGGAATATATTTTAAAAACCTTTGTTAAAGTTTGGTAAAACAAGGAGAACAGTTGCTTAGTACAGGAAGTCTGTGGGACAGATGAATG